GACACTAATTAATATACCTCTATTTATTTTGAGCTCAGATTCCTGCGAAGGAAGGATAGCCGCTCGTGATCAATAGAAACAGGTTGGGTTCCAAGGGAAGGCATGCGCTCCAGGGGGAGGCAGGAAGTCAGGTGGGAAGATGAGATCAAGAAATTTGCGGCCAGAATGTGGTTGCATCAGGCACAGGAGTGATCTAATTTGCAAAACATGAAATAGGCTTTTGTCCTGTAGGGGATAGTCACGTACTACCATCGGTACTGGTGTTGGTAATGACGATAATGATTGATCATTGGCTGTGAGGTGGAAAGCTAATCCTTTACTAGTAGATCGATAAAGTTTCGTCAATTTGCAGAAGAGGTTGGCATGAGCCCCGCCAGAGAAAGTCTATACCCAGCGGCCACACGCGATTCCGCGTTGCATGACACCGATTTCACTTCTCCGCACTGTCGGTACTCTGTTGGCACGGCGTCCATCAGGGTCTCGCTTGCTTATAGTGAGCGCGAGTACTACTCCAGTTAATTACCCACGCTGCATTAAGCCCTTGTATTGCCTGTGCTACGTAGCGGAACAGGCGATAACGAGTAAATGCATCCATTGACTATTAGCGAGTCAACCACGCGTGGTGCAGTCTCGTTCACGAAGACACCATGCGAAGGCCTGCATGGAGCGACTGCAATTATTTCCACCGGTGCTAGAAAAAAACGATTCGCACAATGGCAACGCAACTGGAGATATTATTGCGTCAAGTTAGCGCCAGCGTCGTCGACGAGCGTTAGCTATTCAAGCTTTTTAATTGTACAGCTTTTGACAGCTGTATGGATGCACTTACTTCACCGAGGCTTTTACGATCCGCAGCTCCCTGAGTCACGCCTAGCTGCTTCTTGAGACAGCGGCTGTCTCCAAGGTAAACGAACGCCTTGATATGCAATATGCGCAAGAGCTTTAACCTTTGAGACTAATTTAAAGTTGAGAAGGTGAAATAATTAAAGTGCACGAGAGGCGCTGATTTCTTGAGTTTATCGAATTTGAATGCAAGAGTGAGTGAGTGGTTCTGGAAGGAAAATAAATGAAAAAATAAGCACTGCGGCCGTTCATATTACGTATCTATGCATCTTATAAATAAATGCACTCACAGCATATAACACTCACGCATTGATGTTGCACCCAGGTATGCGCAATGTTTGTTACAGAGAAAGCTGTTTTGAGATCAAAACTCGGCTCACATGTGGTGCCGTAGTTGTCCGCCGCCCCTGCCCGTCGCACATCGCACGAAAAAAAAAAAACCTAGCACCAATGGCACAGGGAGCTCGAACAAGGGTCCGCTAGATGACAGGTCACTATTCTACCACTGAGCCACGAAGGTTTTTTTTTTTTTTCTTTGTTGTTTTGGATATCAAGACTGTTCACCTTCCACATATCTACATATTGGTCAAAGTACAACTGCGTCATAAAATACACCCACAAAAATATTTAGTGCCTTCAGCTCTTAGCTGACTATAAATCAATACTTTGGCATTCGTAACAATAGCTCAATGCGACCAATCCAGTCTGGTACATCCTCTTGGCCCTTCAGCACTTCAAGAAAATGGCACACAGATTCTCAAAGCTGGGCCATGAAGGTGCTTGGGACTCATTGGCAAACTTGCCTTAGGCAGGCTTGATGTCGTGAATGCAATCACGTTAGTACGGCTAATAAGTCGTTTTAAAACAGCAAAAGAACAACTAGTCGTCACACAATGCGAAAAGGTGGAAAATGGTCCAATCAGCAACATGCCCGAACTGCTCCCCACGGGAAACAAATCAGCATGTTTTACGGCAATGCGTCGTTGCTCGTGTTTTCTGGAGGATAGTGCAAGCTAGATTTCATGGCTTCGGGGTAAATCGCTTCATTTCTTCTGGGTGTTGTTCTCAAGGCCGCTTCGCCTGTCTTGTCATTGTTGCTGGCGCTTACTGTCTTTGGCGCAAACAATGCGAGGCGGTTGCAGCATGCCGCCACCGTCGCACTCTCTTCCCGATCTTGGAGCCACTGTACACAGAGCTGCTATCTGTTCTGTCGGATGAAGTCTTTTTACTTAGTGAGGAGGAATTCTTTCGGCACTGGTCGTGCCCTTTTGTGTTCGTCTGTGAGAGACGTGTGAAGCTTGTTTGTAGGCCTGCGTGGTTTTGGTAGGTTGATGTTTGCTTAGTACTGGCAGAAACACCATGTACATATCATGCAAATACGTAACATATATATATATATATATATATATATATATATATATATATATATATATATATATATATATATATATATATATATATATATATATATATATATATATATATGGGCCGCTTGAAAAACAGTGTTAATCGTGATGGCATGCAGCCCTGTGTTGGCGAGCAGCGTCTTGCTGATGGGTAGCTTTGGTGAAGATCATTTCGTAAGCCCGATTAAATTCAATAATTCGCAAGAGCATAAAAAGTTGGTCTCCCAGAGTACACCAGTAAACAAAATCTATTGACGCTGGGTGTCGACATCACCTTTGGAGAAATAGTAGAGGCACAAGAGGTCACCCAAGTTGCAAGACTGGCTTCCACGGAAGCTGGCAGACAGTTACTAGCGCATACTGGTATACGGTCTCTCATTGCCAGACAGAGAGAGTGCGAGCTCCTTATCAAAGTCATGGAAATATATTCCATATTTCAGATACCCAGAAACAGCACCCTCTGTACAATTACGGCAGACGCAAAGCAAGAGTGAGGGCCCTTCGCACAGTGGCTACGATTGAGGACAACGTCTCCTTGGTGACGCAGCACAATACGCAGCTTCCAATCACTTCGTTTCAGCAGCTACGTCATTACAGGGTGAGCTGCTGACATCACTTAAGCTCTAAAATTCGGATGCCGACAAAGCCGAACAAGTGGCAGTGGCCATCGCCATGGCCACTTCGAACTGTTCTACTATTCACATGGACCCATGAGCCGCCACTAGAGCTTTCATGAAAGCCTCGGTGTGCAAGGAAGCCGCTCGCGTTCTCTCTGCTGCATCTTGGACAGGCAAAAAGCATATAATTTGGTTGCCTGGTCATGTGGGCAGTTATGCTCACGAAACCATTCCAAACGCCAACAAACTTGCACACACCCAGGTGCAAGGTCTCACTCACCGCGCCGGAAGTGGGCACTTGGAGGCCCAGGAAGGGCAGTGGCAAAGGGACCCTCTTTTTACTTTTAGCGAGGTCTGTAAGCACTATCAGCTGAAGCGTCGGAAGGTTCCGCTTCCACACCCACACAATAACAGACCGCAGGCAATCACCCTGCGAATGTTAATACGAACACATATCCACCTCCGTTTACTTCGTCAAAATTATAGACATAATAGACCCACGCTGTCCGCGCTATGGTCATGCGAGGTACAGACTTCAACTCATGCTGCGGTTGTGTGACGACTTGCGCGGGAACTAAGAGTCTCCCTCTACTGAGGAAGACTGGTTCTAGCTCATCACCAGCTCCGCAAAGGACCAGAAGCTAAGGGCTTTCCAGAGATCCCGCGAAGTCGCCGAGAGCCTGAACATCCCAGCACAATCGTGGGTGGGGCCTCCAGAATGTACCCCCTTGATGGAGGCATTCTCGTCTTCTCAGGACTAAATAAAGTTCTCCGACACACACACACACACACACACACACACACACACACACACACACACACACACACACACACACACACACACACACACTTGCCCTGCCACGGTGGTCGATTGGCTAAAGTACTCGGCTGCGGTCCCGCAGGTCGCGGGATCGAATCCCGGCTGTGGCGGCTGCATTTCCGATGGAGGCGGAAATGTTGTAGGCCCGTGTACTCAGATTTGGGTGCACGTTAAAGAACCCCAGGAGGTCGAAATTGCCGGAGACCCCCACTACGGTGTCTCTCATAATGATATGGTGGTTTTGGGACGCTAAACCCCACAAATCAATCAATCAATCAATCAACACACACACACAGCCCTGAAAGCTGAAGAACGACTGTGCTGTGGAAATATGTTCGATATATCCTATAAAACTGCCATTTACGTCACAGCGTGTATGTAGCCTAACCATAGGTGTGCGTAGGGTTCCCCCTGAGGGAGGGGGTGGCGAAGGCTCGTCGCAGCGTCTTCCTTTCCTATTTTGTCAATGTACGGGGCTGGCTCAGCACCCCCACCTCTCTCGTGTGACTTAAGGAGCAGCCCCCCCCCCCCCCCCCTTGCGCATACGTGTTAGCCTAGCAATATTACAGTCACCCTAATTTTCGTCCCTAAAACCTACATACACAGACAGCTACTGTTTGACTCGGGCAACGTGCGACAGCACGGCCGGAAAGTGCGAGTTGTTCGTTTTATGCTTTTAGAAAAGAGAAACAAAGCTCCCTGACGTCCGTTTGTATTACGTGCACTGTCAGCGACGGAAACGAGGCGACGATGAAAAAGGACGACACCTGCGCAACTAATTCCCAGCGGTCGCCGAGCGTCTCACTCCCATTGTTCGCCGGGAAACAAAGATACGACGAGAAACACAAGGCGACCGGTGCAACCCCAGCACGCAACGTGGTACCCATGGTGCACAATCGTCTTGCGAGCATACTGGTCCCGTGAACCCTATAGTTCACAGCCGAGCTCCTTTGACCTGCTTAGTTATCTGTTAACTTGCATTTAATTGGCTGTAATAGTCAATAATGCGGCGCTTCACCTTTCAATAGGTTCCCGGTTTCCACCCTCTCCATCTTTGCTCCCTCACTCACTCTCGGAAAAGAAAGAAAACAAACGCGCGGTGACGCATTGTCAAATTGTCAAAGCAAAAGCTGTTAACAGTGAAGCGAGAAGCGGCGTCTTCCTGCAAACTCGGGCAGCTGCGCATGCACGCCCGCCGAGTCAGCCAGCCCCTTGTGCGCACGAGTACGCAACACCGCGTCCTCTACCCACAGCTGCCTACGTGCATGGCTTCTATGCGCTCCTCTGTTTCTCTCTCTCGAAGAAAGGGAAGTATTCGCTGCAGAGAACACCGGAGGAGTTTCAGCGTCGTTGCGGCTGACACCGGTGTGCAGGCTTGTGCTCTTCCTCCACCAAGCTGGAGCAGAAAGGTCAGTATATATGCTCGATATATTACAGAACGGCGCACGTATTACGAGAGATCACCTGTTATCCCCTTTGGTTTGCGATTAGTGCAATACCCGCCGATAGACAGGTTGCATTGTGTACAAAATTGGTAGGCGTTCTATTGACATTTGGTCTTTCGTGAGTTTCTTGCCCCCTATTCTCTCTCTCTTTTTTTTTTAGCCAAAGTTATCAATAAGGATGGTTGCTGGATGAATCTACTGATCACGGATGCCCGATAAGAACTTGAGGTGATAGAATAGGGACTTCACATTTAATCTATCTATCTATCTATCTATCTATCTATCTATCTATCTATCTATCTATCTATCTATCTATCTATCTATCTATCTATCTATCTATCTATCTATCTAAAATATGTATTTTTGGCATTTTTATGAGGTTGATGTTTCGTATGCGTGCTGTGTATGCATCTGTATTGTATTTTTAAGCACTAGCTGTTTGCTACCTTTTGTTGTTTTGCTGCCTAATTTTTTTACCATGACGATGTATTTACACCCTGCTAAAATCACCTAAGGGGACGTATCTGTACATGATAGATAGATAGATAGATAGATAGATAGATAGATAGATAGATAGATAGATAGATAGATAGATAGATAGATAGATAGATAGATAGATAGATAGATAGATAGATAGATAGATAGATAGATAGATAGATAGATAGATAGATAGATAGATAGATAGATAGATAGATAGATAGATATCCGATCATTTAAAATATGATGTCTGCCTGACCAAAACCACAATCTGTATTGATCACGAGGCGCATAGCACTGAGATTCTACGGGTTAATATTGATCCTGGGTGGTTCCTCAATGTGCAGCCGGCACTTACGTGACCATTTCAACACCATTTTGTCGAGTACAATTGCCCACGCTGGCGTCGAAACCGTGACCTCGAGCTCAGCGATGCAACGCTGCATCTCGAAGGGGAAGCTGCAACTGAGATCAGTGAGGGAGCACGCAAGGGATTTACAAAGCGCAGCAGAAAGAAAACGTGGATGATCCCCCTATATATAGGAATTTGTATAACACTAAACTGAAACGTGCCTTTACAGAGGTAGTAGAGCGCTTATTGTGCATTGTTTGAGCAACAGCAATGAATTTCAAGGTCGTGCAAGGAACCGCAAGCAGCTCGAAACTTGCAGCGCACACCTCAAGTAGAAAGCGTGCACGAAATTAGCTAAGAGGACGAGCGTGGCCTAACTGTCGCATCTAGACACTTTTAAAGCGCGCTGTTCAAACAGAAAGACGACGCACGAAACGGGCTCACAAGTATAACAGGACAAGCGCGAACAGCTGTCACTATTCTTTCTGCGTCGTGTGTCAGCAGCGCACTCTTTTCGTTAACGTGGCCGTGGCAGCGTGCGAAGTGACCTTCATCCTCTCCAGAATTGCGAGTCTGAAAAGCGCGCGAGCAGGAGAGACCACGCTCCGTGGAGGCGGGGCTTCGTGGAGGCGACGACTTTGGTAGCGATGATGATGATGATGATGATGTTATGTGGGCTTTAACGTCCCAAAACCACCACATGATTATGACAAACGCCGTAGTGGAGGGCTCCGGAAATTTCATCCACCTAGGGTTCTTTAACGTGCACCGAAATCTGAGCACACGGGCCTACAGCATTTTCACCTCCATCGAAAATGCAACCGCCGCGGCCAGGATTCGATCCCGCGACGTACGGGTCAGCAGCTAACTACTTTGGCCACTAGATCACCGCGGCGGGGTGCGACGACCGTGAAGCGCAGACAAAACTAAAACCCCTCGATCTTGGGAAAGAAACGACACTCTCCTCCTTGCGCGCGTTTTCTCCTCGATTCTCCTCGCCCGCTTTTCGTACGCGCGGCGCACGGCGCCATTTTTCGCCGACGCTCCCGCGGGCGCACCGTAGAATTCAAAGCAGGCGGTTTATTTGCGGCAGCTTGCGCGCCGAAGCAGTGCTGAACTTTTTTAATGGTGATTATGAAATTGGGAACACTGATGCAATTATTTATTAAAGGATAAGCTTTTTCCAGAGGTCGTCTGAGTGGGGCATGCTAATTAATACAAGGTTTAAGGGGAGTTCTACGATGCGGATGTTTTGCTGCCGTATGATAGCATGCTGTACGTTTGCATCTGGTGTAGTTCCGCTTGTGGTATGTCCGTCGGTGTTTGGATGTTTTTTTTGTGCTTGTGCACCAGTACTCGACACAGATACTTACAGCGCCACATGTTGCAATGACTTCGCGGAATGTGGATAATTTAGCCATGTGTTTATCTTCTCAACGTCTAAGTAGCTTTGCGCAGTGGTCTCCAAACTGAAGAAGCCCTTTAAGCAATGTCAATGCGATTAAGTGTCGCCAACAGTGACTCATCCAGCACAATAACACAAACATAAGTATATGAATTCCTAATTATAACTTTGTTTTCACGTTTTTGTCAAAGAAACTAGCGATCAGGTTACTTTTGAAAGGGCCCCGCCGCGGTGGTCTAGTGGCTAAGGTACTCGGCTGCTGACCCGCAGGGCGCGGGTTCGAATCCCGGCTGCGGCGGCTGCATTTCCGATGGAGGCGGAAATGTTGTAGGCCCGTGTGCTCAGATTTGGGTGCACGTTAAAGAACCCTAGGTGGTCTAAATTTCCGGAGCCCTCCACTACGGCGTCTCTCATAATCATGTAGGGGTTTTGGGACGTTAAACCCCACATATCAATCAACTTTTGAAAGGAGGAACTCTGCTCCAGAATTGTCACCATAATCTGTGCGTCCATAGCGATAAAAAAATCCTATCCAGAGTGACTGCTCCCGGTCAGACGTACCCATGTGACACTGGTATAAATGATAACATAGGTTTTTATTGGTGAATGGAAGACATGCTAATGCAGACGTGACCAAAACGATTGCGGCCATGTTCTCCTAAAAAATGACTAACTAGGCATTACCATGCTATAGCTTTTTATTGTTGCACCTCTGTATTTATTTCTTTCGATGGACCGCATCTCTTTCGTTATTTTTGTGTGTTAGTTCCCACCTCCAGAAAAACAAATAACAAAATAAATAGCCTTACAGAAACGAGCGCCAATTAGTGTAATCTCTATTCATTCATTCATTTGTTTTCTCGAACAAACTTTCTCGTAAATGAATTATATTAGTCACAAAAAGGGCGATCTAGAAGCTGTGTCATCCCACGTATTGTTTGCAGCGAAACCAGACTTAAGTTGTGCATCCTCGACGAATGCCGAGGTGCGTGCGAAATGAAGGAGTACGAGCTCAATATTTTTATTTATTTTATTTTAATTATTTACTTATTTGCACTAAATACGAGAATATTGGTTTATGCAAGAGGGTCATAAGAAACATCAAGTGATTCGTGAGAGCAAAAAAAAAAAAAACTGTATCCATATGTTAACAGAGTTCACAGAGCTGTCATACGTTAACAAAGTCTACAACACATTTGAACATTCTAATCACTAAGTAGATAACGTTTCAGTTACATATCAAGACTGTCAGCCGAAAAAAAATCACGAGGCAGTGAATTGCATTCGTCAACTGTTCTGGGAAAATAACTGTATTTTAAGCATCATATCATGCAAATATGGGTGCCAAGAATCGATCACGCATACGGCGGGTATTTCTAGCAGTGGCTGGCTGAACGCAACAAGGTAAATTTATGGCATAATTTTGTATAAAAACGTTCAATGATTCAACTTTCTTCTTGTTTCTAACAAAGAAATTTAGGATATTGATGACAACTCCACATTGAAGCAACGCACTAATAGCCGAGAGAAAAAATCACAGCATATCCACGAGGTGAATGATTACGAGTGGGGAGAAGCATGTGGACGGACGCACGCACAGATATATGGACAGATGGAAGCACACACGGATGCACAGAAGCATGGACAGACTAATGGACGCTTCGTCCCACTCAAGATCATTCACTCCGTGGATATGCTGTGACACTGTTTTTATTAACATCCACTGCAATGCAGCTGGCTACTACGATGACTACGACGCACAGGACATACGACCCACGGCGTAAGGAGCTTCACCCCTAAAAGCCCGCATGTTGATGAGCAGGCCGAAATAATATTTCAAATGCAGCAGTCGGTGATGCTTTGATACCAGCAATAAGAAAGGCGCCTTACCTCGCAAAGTACACTGTTCTTTGTCGGAATGAAGTTTTTTTTTTTTTTTTGCCGAAGCTGTGCAGCTACTGCTGCTTGCGCAAGCCATTCCGTTTATCTTGGGGTATCATAAAAAGTGTGTAACCATTTTCACTGCACTTGTTGCAGTGATAGCAGCAACAGAACTGCTTAGCGCCCGCACAAAACACAGAAAACAAAGCGCGCGCTACGTTTCTTACGCAGAGCGTCGGCGAAAAATGGCGCTAGCGAAAAAGAAAAACACAAGCAAAGTGCAAGATGCACGCGTCTCCAAGGGCAACCGCGAAGGAGACCAATCATCGTTCAGAAAAAGTGTCGGAGACCGGGAGGACACTAAGTGGGGCGAAGAGGGAGAAAGGAGGTCGGGCGCGCGGCGGCCAGTAGAGTAGGTGGCGGTACTTTCCCAAGATCAAAAGGTTTTAGACAACACGAGCCTGTCGTGTTATTTCACCACTGACAACGAAAAGGCGCTACAATTTCGAAGCTCTGAGGACTGCCAAACGCTGTGTATAAATGGCTTGCCGTTAGCATTCCAGACAACGTACGTTCTGTGGCGTAGTTGTTAGCACCGCGCGCTAAGAATCGAGAGGCGGCTGGTTTGATTCCGCACGCCAGATGCTTGCTTTTTGGTTTTAACTTGATTGATTGATATGTGGAGTTTAACGTCCCAAAACCACCATTTCATTACGAGAGACGCCGTAGTGGAGGGCTCCGGAAATTTCGACCACCTGGGGTTCTTTAACGTGCACCCAAATCTGAGCACACAGGCCTACAACATTTCCGCCTCCATCGGAAATGCAGCCGCCGCAGCGGTTTTAACAT